GGAGGGGGTATTTTCATGCACTGGTTAGGGAGGTATACCATCTTTTAGGAGTGAAGAAGAGCAGGATGGGAGTGTGGGGAAGGTACGTGAGGCATTACGTAGAATGAAAGGGTATAAAGCAGCTGGAACTGACGGGATCATGACAGAAATGTTAAAAGCAGGGGGGGGGGGGATATAGTGTTGGAGTGGTTGGTATTTTTGTTTAATAAATGTATGAAAGAGGGGAAGGTACCTAGGGGTTGGCAGAGAACATTATTTTGGCCCTTTATATAAAGGGGAAGGGGGGACAAAAAAGTTTCAAAAATTTTAGCGGAATAAGTTTACTGAGTAACCGGGAAAAATGTACGGGAAAGGGTTATTTTTTGAAAGAATTAGAGGTAAAACAGAGGTGGCTGTGGGAGCAAGGAAGTTTTGAGTGGGAAAAGGGTGTGTAGATCTCCTACCCAACATAATGGGAAAAATTTTTTAGATAAAAGGAGGGAAGCTTTCATTGATTTATGGATTTAGAAAAGGGATTGATAGTGGAAGGGAGCAATGGGAGAGTTTTCAAGATTGGAATAAGTGTAAGTTATTAAAACTGTGTAAAATTTTTATGAGGATAGTTGGGGTAAGGGTTGGGTTTTAGAAGGAGGGGGATACTTCCCCCCGGTTTAAAAAAAGGGTTTAAACAGGGATGTGTAAAGCACCATGGTTGTTTAATTATTTATAGATGGGGTTGTAAAAAAAAGTAAAGCTAGGGTGTTCGGGGAAGGTGGGGGGTTAAATTTGGGAATCAAATACAAAAAAAGGGGGTGACACAGTTCTTTTGGTGATACCGTCTTATGGGAGATTCTAAGAAAAGTTATAAGGTTAGTGGATGATTTTGGGGGAAAGTATGTGAAAAGGTAGAAAGTTAAAGGTGAAATAAAAAAAGATTAAGGTGATGAGGGTATCAAAGATTTAGATAAAAAAAAATTGGATATCACATTGAAGGAGGGGTTTGGAAAGAAGTGAATTTTTTTTCAGGTATTTTTTGGGGTTGACGTGCCCAGGGGGAGGGGTTTAAAAAGGGGAGGGGGTTTTAACCATAGAATGATAAAGGAAAAAAAGGGGGGAGTGGTGCACTGAGGTATATGTGGAGAAAAAAAACGTCATCTAGGAGGCAAAGAAGGGAATGTATAAAATTTTCGGGGTTTCCCAAACACTCTTATATGGATGTAAAAGTTGGGTTGTAAATGCTGGCGAGGAGGCGGTTGGAGGAGGGGGGAGATGTGCGTTAAGGGCAATGTGTGGTGTAAAAAATTTGCAGAGATTTCGGAGTAGGGAAAATTAGGAGGGTGGGTTAAATAAAAGTATTAGGGGGGGAAGGGGGGTTGTTGAGGGGGTTTTGGTCATTTGAGAGAAGGGAAATAAAAGCAGAATGACATGGAGGCATAAAAATTTTGGAGGGGAGGGAAAAGCAGTGTAGGGGTTGTCCTCGAAAAAGGTTGGGGGGGAGGGAAAAGGAGGTTTTGGGGCCCCCAAAAGGCTTGGACTTCCAGAAAGGTGTGCGTAAAGCGTGTTAAAAAGGGAGTGAATAGAGACAAAGGGTTTTTTTTTTGGGACCTGACGATTTTTTTTGGAGGGGTGAGCGGGTATTATTTATTAAAGGGTTAAACAAACCCGGGAATACGGGAAAGGGGAATTAAAATCCCCTGATTTAAAGGTGGGAGAGGGTTTCGCTTGTTAAATTTAATATATATAAATATATATATATAAAATAATAATAAAATTTTATATAATATATTTTTAATATAATATAAATATATATATATATTTATTTATATTATATATTATATATAATATTTTATATTATAGGGTTTGTGGTAGGAAAAGGGAAAATTTTTAAAAACAGCTCCGGGGAAAACCCTTGTTTTTTAAATGGGTACATTTATTGTCTTTCTTGAGGATGGGGGCCCCCTTTTCCAGCTAAAAGAGGTGGTATTTCCCCTATTATTAATATATATATATATATATTTTTAAAATATATTATTATATTTATATATATATTATATATATAAAATTATATATATATATAAGGGTATTATATATTATTTATGCAAAAAAAAACCACTGTAAAGGAGAAATTAAAATTTCCAAGCGTTTCGTAAACTATTAAATTGTAAAGGGGAATTTTGGGGAATTTATTCCTCTTTAAACAGTGGTTTTTTTTTCATATTTTAAAATCACCTTTTTACTGTGATCCTATTGCAAAAATATTATATATATTTTATATATACTATTATATATATATTTATATTTATTTAAAAATAAAATTATAATATATATATATAAAATTTTTTTTTTTTTTTTTTTTTTTTTTTTTTTTTTTTTTAAACAAGTTGGCCGTCTCCCACCGAGGCAGGGCGCCCCCAAAAAAAAAAAAAGAAATCCCAAAAAAAAAAATGCTTCCTTTTCATTAACACTTTTACCACACTCAAAATAAAACACGTTTTTGCCAAAAGGTGCTCAAAATAAAACA